TACTTGAGAGAATGATGGAAAAAAAGGGTTTCTCCGTCAAGAGTAAATCGCATTTACTAATATATGGAACTTAAAAGTAAATAAAAATAACCAAAATGACCTCTTTGTACTTTATTTGAATACAACACAAGAAAAAATGGAAACCAAAAAGTTACTTCCCTGAAACATCAGTAGAACCCACCTATTAGTTGATGCCACTACAACAACATGTAATCCAGATGTTGAAACGGACTTATTAGAGTCCATCAACATAAAGAGCTGAGAAGCTACACGTACATCTTGTTCTCTTCTGCAATAGCAAACTCACCAAGTATGTTGAATGAAATATGAATATGAAAGTATTATGTGCAAGTGCAATAATCTATGAAGCACAGAAACTTCCAATGGCTCATGCTTCCCCGCTCCGCAAACTGGAAAGCGTATCAAAAACTCCAGAACTTCAAATTCCAGTTTGAGGGGTGTTTCAATAATTAAGAAAAATTGGAAAGCTTGTTTCCCAAAATAATAACGTTTAGGAAATTTTGGATTTCCAAGTATTTTTCTTTTTGATGGGGTCCATTGACGGAAAATAGTGCCTTTCCAAAACTCTGGTGAATTTTTATAAGATTTCTTCCTAGCAAAAGAATAAAGTAAGAATGATTTAGAGTCACACAAACTTCACCAAATTTGGTATGGGACAATTTAAGTGGGATTTCCCGAAAAGGTAAAATGGGACAATATTAGCGGGACAGAGGGGGTAATAGTTTATAAACTTGAATACATAGTCTTTAGTTACTAATGGTTATCAAACAAAATTATCTGAAATAATGTGCATATATATAAACGAAAAAACATGTATACATATATAAAAATATTTATACATATGTCCTCATGTTTTTTAAAATTAGTGTGTTTTTCCCATATTTTGTGTCATGTATTTTTTTAGAAACCATATTTCCGATTTCCATACTACTCAGGCAATGACAATGTTTGAAATTGCGTTTTGCAAGCTTGAGGCGGTTTCTTAGCATTACCTATTGTGTAACCTCATTGTGCAATTTCAAACGATGGGCAATAATACATTAAGAAAGCATTAAGTGATACAAGTTTGAGATAAAGTTAAAACTCATGGCCCTGGAAAGTGTATTAACTGGAATGATTACCTAGAATCACGACGAGGGCATAGTACATCAATTTCGTCTATGAAGATAACAGATGGCTTCCCAAGGTTTGCATGAGACGATGCTTTTGCAAATGCTTCCCGCAAAACTCTCTCGCTTTCTCCAGTATGTGCTCTATGGACACTGTGTGGGCTACAGATGCACCACAAAATTAATGACATTTGGGATTCATGCCCATATATTTATCACAGCTTCTCATATGGGAAAAGAGATAAGGCATTCACATATGACCCACAAATATTTTCTTGATATCTCCCAAAGCAACTAATGTGTGTCAAGTTTCTTCATAAGCTATGTAACGTTTTAGCATAAATATCTCCACTTTAACATCATGATAAGCAATGAAACATTTCATTAACTCCAAAATGTACATTTTATTTCTATGATTCTATCACTAAAATGTGCACATAACACTACCTTAGTCCCGAAAAAAGTCACCATTGTAATACTAGGATCATTATTTTAAACACGAATTACACGACTCTATTCTGGGGAGGAATGAGTACTTAGTCTCTCATCTGCTTAAAAATAGAAAATAAAGCTTGCTAGGGGATAGCTCTATATGTATAGATCTAAAAAAACAAACATGACACACATAAAACATTACAATATGTAGTACCTAATAACAGTCAAATGTGCTCCACATTCTTGAACAACTGCTCTAACCAAACTTGTCTGCAAATCCAGTAATACATTATTGGAACAATATTTGAGAAATAGATCCCTTTTTCTCACAATGCAAATGGTGATCAAGCTAAGAGATAGATAGCCAAGAGAATAAATGTGTATCTACCTTTCCAGTACCAGGTGGACCATAGAGCAACAAGCCACGAGGCCACTATAAGAAGACAATGAAAGATACCCACAAATAAACAAGTCTATCAATATTATTAGTGAGGGGATCTATACAAAAACATTCGTATCCAAATTACTTTGAGGCCAAGCTTTTGAGACTCTTGAGAATACAGGAGTGGATACATAATGAGTTCCCGAAGAGCACGGACCGCCTCTGCATTTCCAGCAATGGCATCCTCAGCCATCCACTCTCTGCCTCCAGTTGTACTTCCATTGCTGCTTTCCATTAGAAGTTTTATTGTATGTTTCTAAATCGTTCTTCCAAATAGGTTTTCAAGGCAGCTTTTAGGGTTACAGGATTGGCAAATGAAAACCTACAGCAGAAATTACAATGTCATGGTGGTGCAGTCGGGACAAATAAATAAAAAAAACACAAACTAAATCAAAGGAAACCACTCAGATTATTTTCAAAACACTACAATAGGTAAATTAATACTCCGAATTAACATGATAGGCTCAGGAACCGATTACTCTTCCAGAATTTGTTGACTGAGACAGGGCCTTCCTGTTTGTCAGGACAGAGCAAAACTCTTTGACTTTTTTCTCAATTTTTTTATATTTCATACTTTGTCATAGTATTGAATATGATAAAACTATGTTAAAAGATATAATAATAGTAATACCTTTCATCTGATAAGTTGCATATATAAATAAAAATAGCACCACAAATAACAATTAAAGCTAAAACATAAATGTAAAATTTAAAAACATCTTTCATACAAGATTGTGAAGCAAAATCGTCAATCATAGCTTCAAAATCAATCTCTTCAAGCGTCTCATGCTGGACGATTAATATTAGTAATCCACTAACCTTTCTTGAACATAGTTGACCGCAAATAATAATGCATTGGCATCTCATTGCTAATTGTTTAATCTAAACTGTAAATTCAAAAAATCTAGATTATTAAGATTAATATTGCTGGCTCGCGAAACTGGTGCTTTCAATTTTACATATGTAACTACAATGGAATTTGATTTAAGTGTGCAAGTAAATAATTGGTTTTCTTTAAAAAATAATACTCCCTCCGTCCAGTGGCGGATCTAGACCTCAGGTTTTGGGTGTTCGAAACTAAATTAAAATTAAAATTATCACAATGATCATGTAATTCAACAATTGCATATTTGTCGATAAGAAAGCCTTACATTGCAAACCAAAGCATAGTATATTAATAAAGTATAATAAAAGTACTACATTAACTTATTTTTCCTAATGCTCGTGTTTTTCTGAAAATAATCTAAAAGTTCTTCATTACTGCCACTTCGATTCTCAAGTCTGCCAGGGACCAAACTTAACAAAGTGCTGAACTGCCAGACAACCAGGTCATTTAGTATGTTTTGTTTGTACTTTTTAGTATATTAATTATCAAAAAAGGGGTAAGTTTGTAACTTGAAAGAAACATATCAATATTGAATCTGACATGATCAATTTATCATTTACGGAATATCATCTTTTTTCCCAAAATGTCAAAATACAAATTACACCTACCGACATACGGAGTACAATTGTTACCAACAGACAAGTAGAAATCCAATTTAGAAATTTACCGAGTGCTTAGCTCAGTTGGCTGTCTTGGCTGAGGCGTGAGTGGCGAGTCCGCATGCGCCTAGCGCCGTAGCAGAGCGGCAGCGGCAGCGGCAGAGGAGCGGTGGTTGCAGATTGTGTCGAGACAGTGCTGCGGTGAAGTACTGGAAGTCTCAAGCCGGGAGCGGGAGTGCGGGACTGACTTGCTGCGTGATTTGTGACTTTGTGAGAAGACCTAGCGGCACTGGTCGTTTGAAATTGGAACGAAGCAAAACAGGTTTGGGCTTCTCCGATCTGCTTCTGAATTCTGGCTTTCAACCTTCTGGGATACGACATAGCAGTAAAGGCAAATCGGCGGAGTTTTAATTTTTTAGTTAAACGCACAAAACGACGTCGTTTTTAATTTTTTTGGAAAATTCTGGGTGTTCACGTGAACACCTTTGAACGGTCCGCCCCTGCCTCCGTCCCCCTTAATTGTCCCATTTTTTCATTTTTGGATGTCCCCTATTATTGTCTCATACCATATTGGTAACATTTGTGTGGCTCTAATTCATTCTTACTTTATTCTCACTTTATCAACTCATTAAGTCAGTATGAACCACATAAATCTACTTTTCTTAAAAACTACCTCACTCTCTTCCGTCCCAATATTAGGGGGCGGAGGGAGTAATACAATAATGCCATCTATGTTGCACGGAAGTGTAGGAGGCGTGCTGAAATGTGAAACAGGAAACACCATCTTAAGGGGCGGAGCCATAACCAACATTCAGGGTGGACCGGAGGTAAACTAAAAAAACGCTATGTCAAAATTTAAACTAGTATATAGTTCGAATAAAATGATTAAAATTCATTACAATTTATATTGTAGTAGGTTTAAAAAACGAATGCAATGATTTTTCATTTTTTTTTAGCGGCTGAAATATTTGGAATTTCAATGAAGTTTTTATTTAACTCTTGTCCGTTTTGTGTACTTGCGGGCTTCAAAACGAAGCAATATTATTTTTGCCTTTTTTGAAGTACATTGGGTAGTCATACCTGCTTAAATTGATAAAAATTAATAAAATAATCAGTATAAAGAGTACTATTTTCAATCACATACATAGTACATAGTATGTTTTATTAATATGTTTAGAAATTGACCATCCTAATTCTTAATTTCACAAAGGGAAAATGGAAACTAATAATCCAACCTTTTAGCGGTCTTCTTACAATAGTCCCACCTTTTGATTATTCATGAATAATCCAACCTTTGCACCTCATCTTCATTCACTGGTCCCTGACCGGTTGATGACCTACTATTCCAAGTTATTTTCTTATCTTTGCAAAATATTATCTTTGTGAAAGGTGAGATTTATGGTATAATGGTTTGCAAAGATAAGAAAATAACTTGGAATAGTAGGCCATCAACCGGTCAGGGACCAGTGAATGAAGATGAGGTGCAAAGGTTGGATTATTCATGAATAATCAAAAGGTGGGATTATTGTAAGAAGACCGCTAAAAGGTTGGATTATTAGTTTCCATTTTCCCTTTCACAAATGAAATTAGAATACGGAGTATGACAAATGATTCACCAATCGTAAAACATATTGACATGGTTAAATTCACATTAGCGAAACACTTAAAAACTAAAACAATTAAGCACTCAAACAGAACATTTAAAAATCAAGATAGCAATTTTTAAGATATTAGCTATGTACGTAATTCAAAATAAAAAATAAAGAATACCGGCCACTTAACTAACCTACTAGGCCGCTGGGGTTGTTGAGCCGATGAGCTGAACTGCAGATGGCAGCCAAAACTCCGAGAAGCTGAGAAGTGAGAAGAACTACCAGGCCGCAAAGCGGATGGGGCGCGGGGCTGGGGCGGGGTACGTGACTGGGTGAGGCAGAAATCTACCTTAATCTAAAAGGAAAAGATTTTTAACGCACAGTTTTCCCGCCCATAAACGTCGACTTCAGTGCTAAATTATTGTATTCGTAAAATAATGTATTGCAACGATTTGGCTCCAGCCGCCATTACAATTATTTGGAAACCCCATTCCTATAGGCAGAAGAGTGAGGTGAGCGTAGTTTATATATAAAAAAAATATTGAAAGCTGCTATTGGGCCAAAAGGGTGGTGGGTACTGTTCAATAAAATATGTTATAGGATGCTGGCCTTCCTTGATTTGTATTGGTGGAAAAGGGTGGTCATACAGTAAATGGGTATGGTACATGCTATCTTTCGTACCTACCTGTTTCACTATAAAAGCATAGCGGCAACAGCAAACTTTTTCACATCCTTCTCACATTGACGTACGATCTAATAGCAAATAGCATACAAGAAATATATTGAAAAATGAGTTGAAGAATTGAACACCAAAAAAAACAGTTCAGACTGTTGGTTCATTACAAAATGTGTCATCAACAGATTGTGATGTGTAGTAGCTAGAGGGTATCTGCAGATTATACCGTTGCCCGTTTGGTCTTCCGCGACCGAGTTTGTGCCGGTTCCTCTGCCTGCATGGACGGTTGTGGATTCCGGCTGGAATTTGTGCTGAAAATGTGTGTCTGATGTGTGAGGGTTCCCTTCCCAGCGCTTGAATAAACGATTGTTCGGTGGCGTCGTAGTCAATGGGAGAGAGGTCTGCATTTGTCGGCTAACTGAATCGAGTGGTTATGAGAAGGATGTCGCTTTCAGCTTCGGGTTATAAACGCTCCACTTAATGGGTTGTCATTTTTGGGCTGCTTTTAAGGCCCAGTAACAATGTGGTCTGGGATGTATTATTATTGGGTTTGTGTGTTGTTTAGTTATACTAATAAAATGACATCAATTTTTGAATTGATTTGTCAGTAGTCCTGTAAACTGATTTATACAATAAAACGAAACGTGTTGTGAAATGAAGAAGATGAACACCAAACTTGAAAGATAGATATATTGATAATAACCTCTAAATCACTTCTTCTTAATATAACTGATAATTTCTGAGTTTCTAAGTAAGTACATTTACAAGGCATCACCAAACCCCTATTTATACTGATGGAGCTTGGTGATGAATCATCAAAGAATCATTCTACATAATATGCTGGCAACATTAAACCTAGCCATCTGTTTATTACAAGGATGGAAATTGGATTAGTGTCCTGATGACAAGGATGAACAATTCACACTTGTCATTCTCAGGAGTTTACAACACTCCCCCTTGAATGTTCATCCTTGAATAGTTATTTGTTATTTAAAAACTTGTTGTGAAATTAAGGGGTAAAAATTACGACTTATAATGTCATTGTATTTGGATGTACTGTCTCGTTAAAAACCTTATCAGGAAAAACCCAGTGGGATAAAAACCTGATGAAGGGAAAAAGAGTGCAGTGCATTCAAATACTCCCCCTGAATTTAGTATAAATTATGAAGACGTCGCATGCCGATTTTCTGTACAAGTTCCATGAACTTCTTCGGGGGTAAAGATTTGGTGAAGAGATCGGCTGGATTTTCACTGGATCTGATTTGTTGAATGTTGATCGTCCCTTCTTTCTCCAGATCATGAGTAGAGAAGAATTTTGGTGATATGTGTTTTGTTCTGTCACCTTTGATGTAGCCTTCTTTAATCTGAGCTATGCACGCAGTGTTGTCTTCGTAGATCACTGTCGGGTGACAAGTAATAGGCTTTATATCGCATTCATTTTGGATGTGTTGAATCATAGATCGCAGCCACACGCATTCCCTCCCGGTTTCATAAAGTGCAATTAACTCCGAATGATTTGATGATGTAGCTGTCAACGTCTGTTTCATAGATCTCCAAGAGATTGCGGTATTACCATAAGTAAATACGTACCCGGTTTGTGATTTTGCCTTTTGAGGATCTGATAAGTATCCAGCGTCTGCATATCCGATTAAAGAAGCTTTTGCATCTTTGTGGTAGAATAGGCCGAGATCAACTGTACCACGGAGATAACGGAATATGTGTTTGATCCCGTTCCAATGACGTCTTGTTGGGCATGAACTGTACCTAGCTAATAAATTTACAGAAAATGCAATATCTGGTCTAGTATTATTAGCTAAATACATTAAAGCTCCAATAGCACTCAGATATGGTACTTCGGGACCGAGTATTTCTTCGTCGTCTTCTCGGGGACGGAATGGATCATCGTGTATGTTGAGAGATCGAATGACCATTGGTGAAGTCAAAGGATGAGCTTTGTCCATATAGAATCTCTTCAACACTTTCTCGGTGTAATTGGATTGGTGGATGAAAATTCCATTCTTCAAATGCTCAATTTGAAGCCCGAGACAAAATTTGGTTCTCCCGAGATCTTTCATTTCAAATTCTTTCATAAGATATTTTGCAGTATTTTCAATTTCATCGGGAGTTCCAATAATGTTTAAGTCATCAACATATACTGCAATTATGGCGAATCCAAAATTTGATCGCCGAATGAAAACACATGGACTAATTGGGTCATTCTTATATCCTTCTTTGAGAAGATATTCACTGAGACGATTATACCACATTCGTCCAGATTGTTTTAGTCCATACAATGACTTTTGTAATTTAATGGAAAACATGTCTCGAGGTTTCGAGCTATAAGCTTCAGGCATTTTAAACCCACCGGGAACTTTCATGTAAATGTCTGTATCAAGTGAACCGTATAAATATGCGGTCACTACATCCATTAGGCGCATTTGCAGCCTTTCAAAAACAGACATGCCAATGAGAAACCTTAATGTAGTTGCATCCACTACTGGAGAATAGGTTTCTTCATAATCAATTCCCGGCATTTGAGAAAAACCTTGGGCAACAAGTCGGGCTTTATATCTAACAATTTCATTCTTTTCATTGCGTTTACGCACAAATACCCATTTAAAACCCACAGGTTTTACGCCTTTTGGCGTAGGGACTATCGGTCCAAAAACATCACGTTTTTCAAGTGATTTTAATTCAGCCTGAAAAGCTTCATTCCATTTTGGCCAATCGTGTCGTTTCCGACATTCTTCTATTGATGTTGGTTCATTGTCATTGTTTTCATTCATAACATTTGTGGCAACGGCATAGACAAATATCTCATTAATATCAATATTTTTTCGATTCCATTGCATTCCAGTAGAAACGTAATTTATTGAAATTTCATAATTATCAACGTTTCTATCAGTATCTGGAATATCTTCCTCATTTAAGGAAGTTGAATCATTATTTGAGATGTTTGTTTTGTCAATATCATTTTCTATGCCAGTATTTTCAAATTGTTCATTTTCTTGTTCAGAAGGATGAACATCTTTGGCATCACAGATCAATTCCTGCCTTTTAGTCTTTCTTGGTTTTATGTCTTTTGATCCAAGTGGCCTGCCACGCTTTTTGCGTATAGAAGAATCATTTGCGAGAGATTTTTCAGAATTCTCCGCTGGAATTTCAATTCTGGCAGGGGCATTCATAGCAGGAATATGTGACTTTGTCACTTTCTTTGTGTCTGTGAATGCATCAGGCAACTGATTTGCAACATTTTGTAAATGGATTATCTTTTGCACCTCTTGCTCACATATATTTGATCTAGAATCAAGGTGTGATAATCCTGTTGCATTCCATGTTATTTCTTTCGTACTTGGGTCCGATTTATTAGTTTCTCCCCCTAAGGTTGGGAATACTGTCTCATTGAAATGACAGTCAGCGAACCGTGCGGTGAATAAGTCACCAGTCATCGGTTCAAGATATTTGATTATTGAGGGAGATTCAAATCCAACGTAAATTCCCAACCTTCTTTGAGGACCCATTTTTGTACGATGCGGTGGAGCAATCGGAACATAAACAGCACAACCAAATATTTTTATGTGTGCTAAGTTTGGCTCTTGTCCAGTAACTAATTGCATTGGGGAATATTCATGATATGCAGTCGGTCTAAGCCGAATTAAATTTGCTGCATGCAAAATAGCATGTCCCCAAGCTGATGAAGGTAAATTACACTTCATTAATAATGGTCTAGCGATTAATTGTATTCGTTTAATCAAAGATTCAGCAAGACCATTTTGTGTATGGACATGAGCAACAGGGTGCTCCACATCAATCCCAATCGACATACAATAGTCGTTAAATGATTGGGAAGTAAATTCTCCTGCATTATCAAGTCGGATTCTTTTTATAGAATGATCCGGAAAATGAGCTCGTAATCGTATGATTTGAGCAAGGAGTTTAGCAAATGCTAAATTTCTAGTCGATAAAAGACTTACATGTGACCAACGTGTTGAAGCATCAATCAACACCATAAAATATCGAAATGGTCCACATGGAGGGGCAATCGGCCCACAAATATCTCCTTGAATCCTTTCTAAAAATGCAGGTGATTCAGTTGCAATTTTGGTCTTAGAAGGCCTGATGATCATTTTGCCAAGAGAACAGGCATTACAAGGAAAATCACTTGATAATGGAACCCTGATATTCTTTAATGGGTGTCCAAGTGAAGTCTTAATGATTTTATGCATCATTACATGGCCTGGGTGACCTAAACGGTCATGCCACAACATGAATGTTTTCTGATCATCTAACTTTGCGTTAGAAACCAAATTTATTTCAAATGGACTAATATAAGTGAAATATAGTCCTGAGGAATATGCTGGCAATTTTTCACAAATACATTTAGTGCCAGATTTAGTTGTCGTAAGACAAAGATATTCCTTTTGGTTTTCATTCATGGTTTCAATGTGATAACCATTTTGACGCATATCTTTAAAACTCAATAGATTTCTCCGCGATTTGCTGGAGTATAGAGCGTCATTTATAATTATTTTTGTCCCGTTAGGGAGCATCACATATGCTTTCCCAGAGCCTTCAATGAGCTTCGCAACACCTGATATAGTATTGACTTTAGCCTCAACTAAAGTCATTTGAGAAAAATAGATTTTATTCCTCAAAATGGTGTGCGTTGTGGCGCTGTCTATCAAACATAGCTCTTTATCACTTGTGTGATTCATATCTGCAGGAGAGGATGATTTCTTGAAGAATTTTTGAGCAGATTCGTGCTGATAACGTGTTGTGAAATGAAGAAGATGAACACCAAACTTGAAAGATAGATATATTGATAATAACCTCTAAATCACTTCTTCTTAATATAACTGATAATTTCTGAGTTTCTAAGTAAGTACATTTACAA